GAAAAATGAACTAAGATATTTAAATCATTGATAACAAAAAATTTCAATGTGAAAAATTTAATAAGTTTATAATTTATAAATGTTCTTGAAAATTTATTGAAAATTTTGAAATTAAAATATTTATGTAATCTTATATGGTATATAGTTTAATCTGTATATATATATATATATATTTGTTTTATTATTGAATGATACTTTTTACTTATATGGTTTTAAAATCATGTATATCTTTTTATAGTAAAATGTTAAACTATTGATCATTAATTTTTAACATAATAATTTTAATAGTTTAGTTATTTATTCTCGTTTCTTAAAATTCAAAATATAACCTATACGAAAAAATCTAAAGTTTAATTTTATAGCTAATTTTATTGTTTAATTTTTTTAATAATATAAAATTAAAGAAAAATGATGGAGGATATATAAACTGTTATCAAATATTTATTATTAGAATCATTAAGTGTCATATATATATATATATTAGTCATTTATGGTAATTCCGTAGGTGTTATTTATGGAAATAAAATAAAATAGTAATTATATCTTAAGGAACATTCATTAAGTGTCATATATATATATTAGTCATTTATGGTAATTCCGTAGGTTTTATTTATGGAAAGAAAATAGCATATCATATCATATAGTTTGACTAACTAATGTATCTAGCAACCTATAAAAATCCAATGTGGACTTACTTATTTTCAATTGAATCTAATTGACTACCTAATTGAATGACACCTATGCATTGGGGCCTCTTTTAATTAATACAAAATTGAGGTTACATCTTTTCAAATGTTCCTCAATTAATATATAGGGGATATCTTTTATGTATATGAAATTGATACGTACACTAGTTCTAGACACCTAAAAAAATATACCATATATAAAAAAACTATTGTACAAAATATATTAACATATAAGTCCTTTCAAATTACTAATTTTAATTACATAAAATAATAACAATATTTATAAAATATGTGATTTAATTAATTTTTTTTTTTAAAAAATATTAATACTTAATTATAATCTTTCTAAATATTCCGTTTTATTTTAGTTGTCGTTTAGATTTACGCATACATATTAGAAAATATATTTAATTTTGTATATTTTAAAATAAATTCATAATCAGCTGGCTATACACCTAACTATTTTCAACTAGTAAAAAAATAAAATAGAATGGAAAGAATCATATAGTATATAAAACTACTAAATTTTGCATTAAAATTAAAAATGAACGAAAATTTGCTATACAATGACATGACATTGTATACAAAATTAAAATAGTGGACTGTTCCATATACACATTTTTTTTCAAAAATATTCACCAAATTATTGTTTGCAGGTTCTAGACACAGAATGCTTCAATCTTGTTATCATCACACTCTTGCTCGTGACGGGCGTTTCACGCTACCTCGTTGTGCGCCTCTACGACCCATCAAAACGTTACAGAAGCGAGAGCAAGCGAACGATCCTTAACTCAAGACAACGAAACATTCAGCTCCGTCTACTCTTCTGCGTTTACAACGTTGACAACGTACCTTCAATGGTTAACCTCCTAGAAGCTTCTTACCCTAGTCGCTACAGCCCTGTCTCCGTCTTCACGCTACACCTCGTCGAGCTCAAAGGCAGAGCACACGCCGTGCTCATGCCGCATCACCTGATGAACAAACTCGATCCCAACACGGCTCAGTCCACGCAAATCGTCAACGGGTTCCAACGCTTCGAGCAGCAGCACCAAGGAACCCTAATGGCTCAGCATTTCACAGCTGCTGCTCCCTTCTCCAGCATCAACGACGACATATGCACTCTCGCACTCGACAAAAAGGCTGCTCTCATCGTTGTCCCGTTTCATAAACAGTACGCGATAGACGGGACCGTTGACAATGTGAACCCTGCGATTCGTAGCATAAACATTAACGTGTTGGACAAGGCACCTTGTTCCGTCGGAATATTCATCGACCGTGGAGAAACAGAAGGTCGTCGCTCTGTCCTCATGAGCAACACGTGGCGTAACGTGGCGATGATCTTCATTGAAGGCAGAGACGACGCGGAAGCGCTCGCGTTCTGTATGAGAATGGCAGAGCACCCGGAAGTGAGCGTCTCGATGATACATTTCCGACACAAGAGCTCGCTTTACAACAGCAACATAACAACGGGAGTAGAAACAGAACCCTCGGAGTGTCACCTCATAAGCGACTTCAAGAACTTCACGCTGAACAAACCTAACGTGCATTACAAGGAAGAGATCGTTAGAGATGGAGTAGAGACCACGCAAGTGATTAGTGCACTTGGTACTACATTCGATTTAGTGGTCGTGGGTCGTGACCATGACCTAGAGTCGTCCGTACTGTACGGGCTAACGGACTGGAGTGAGTGTCCTGAGTTAGGTGTGATCGGAGACATGCTTGCCTCGCCGGATTTTCATTTCTCGGTGCTTCTGGTTCATCAGCAAGAAGGTGACGGGTATTTTGCGATGGATAATAGCTATAGACTACCAGTTTCGCCTTATAGGCCTGGAGATCCGAGAATACACCCACGTTTCTCTGTTGAAGAAGGGTATACTACTGTTGATCTTCATAGCAACCACCGTTGATTATATTAGTCTTTTTTTCTAATGTTTTATTTTATTTTTAAAAAGTAATAATAAAGGGTGTAGTCTTTTTGTGTGTTTGTATAACACTACAGATTGTTAAGTAAGCAACTCGATGTATTAGTTGAACATAACTTTTTTAATGGTCAGTAGTTTTCACTTTAAGGTATAGAAAATGAACCTGGATCAGATAGTTTTATATTCTCAAAGTTGTTATGTGAACAGAAACAGACGAATGTGTGGTGGTTCCATGTAAGACTCAAGAGAGTAGGATCAGACTGTATAATTGGTATAACGAGTGGGTCATTAAAATGTAATGACACAACATCACTTCTAGTCAAGTTACATGAATGGCATTACGTTTGGCAGTAGATACTAGATTGCATCAGTACGTACGTGTAGTATATTACGAAAATGAACAAGAGAAAGCCCTCAATGTAATACAAGAGAAAACCCTCATGTAATACAAAATAATATTCATTTAATAAAACTGGAAGCTTTAGTGAGAAGATGGGTTGTTTGGATGAATTGTATCAAATTTAGTAATGTATGCATAGTTTTTTTTTTTTGAAAAAGGGTTGTAATGTATGCATAGTTGCAGACAAACTATACACTAATAGTAATTGCTGTAGAAAGGAATAGAAAAGAAGAAAAAGAAAGAGTGATAAACAAAAGATAACATGAATGTCTATAAAGATGGGGCATAGAAGAGGGAAGCCATGTGAAGGCTGTTGAGACAGATGGGTTCGCCAGCTTTCATTTTCATTTTTTTTATTGGTCATTTTAATACTAAGAAGAATAATAAATTGGTCTCGAGCCTGATATTTTATTGCTAGATTTTCATTTTTTCTATAGGTATCTTAACTTGTACTTGTAGCCATATCCAACCATTTTGTCAAATAAAGAACTCTGAACATGAACAATTTTATATACAAAAATTATTTGAAATTTCATGTGTAAAGTCCATATTCCAGTGGTTGAACCAAACACAACTACGAGGCAATACTTTTTAAACTATGTATAATGTATATGCAAACAATAACAACTGCATTAGCATCTGATATGTTTAAACGAGTCAAAGCTTATCATCTTAAGTTTAGTTAATATATTTTTGCTTAATAACACATGTATATAAAAATCTGAATATCCATAGCTCAAAGCTGAAAAGAAGCTATATATACACAGAAATCATGATATAAAACTCTTCATTTTATTGCATAACCATTGGTACATTTTCTTGTCCATGTATGGTTTACAAGTTATTTTCCTCTTATTTACATGATTGAATGACAATAGTATCATTTAGAACAGAAGGTTTTTATCTCAGTTTAAAACGCTTTTTGATTGGTCCACCAACATGTGCAAACCTGCCTACTAACAATTATAATTAAATTATTAATTATTATTTTATAAATAACCAACTTATATTATTAAGTCAACAAGTCTAATATTTCAAAGTTGTATTTTCTTTTAAACACACATTCGATCATAATCACTAATCATTTAATTTCAGTGATAATTTTTCCGTAGACAGATCCATCACATACACTTTCCAAGAGGAATAATCTTGGTGGCTCCAAATTACAACACCATTTAGCACATAACTTATAAACATTATATAATTTTTCGTGATATTTTCCACACAAACAAAAAAAATCTCTCGGAAATAAAAATCCGGCGCCCGGACAAAAAAATACACACCATTAGCTAGAAAGAAAAAAAAGAAATAAGAGTTAATTAAGATCCTCAGAGATACTGTCAAGATGTGGCTGCCACGAGGATACTGAAACCGATCTACTATGCCGCCGGCGATGACGTTGTTCTTTATTACCATTTGAAGCCGTCGACACAACTTCTTCCAAGTACTTCTCACACAGTTTCACATCTTTAACTTCTCCAAGGTCAGCCCTAGGGTTGTTGTTGTTGAGGGTCTTGTTCGGACTATGACTCTCTTTTCTCCTTCTTTTCTTCTCTGGCAAGGAAGAATCAGGGATGAGAAAATATATACTTCCTCGCTTGAGTTCGGATTCAGGGGACAAGATCAAGATCTTGCGGACAACTCCTTGAGAACATGGTTTGCTTAGGACATGGTTTGGATTTGCCTGGAGGATTTCTCCAGCGGTTATTGATCGTGTGATCTCGTCAACGTGGCCGTTTAGATGAACGATCCTGATTAAGTCTAGTGCTCCACATGGAAGAACACAAGCTAGACAACACCTTAGACTGTTTCCCATCTCTCACTTTCTATCTATTAGCTCACTTTCTTTAGGGTGTTTTTTTTTATGTATTGGGAATCAGAGTAATGGGGAAGAACAAGTTGGAGAAGACGAGGTTATATAGGAGCCAACATAGCACTTCACGTAACAACAAAGCGGGCTTGACCATACCTATAAGTAAATGACGGAATTGTCCTTTCGATATCTCGTAATTAACTGAACCCATTCTCATAAATACATGTATTATCATCTAGGTTGTCTTAACTGGATGCCTATGATCCAATCTGGTCATTATCATAGTCCTTAACAATCATGATAAAATCATCAAATTTATATGCTGTAGATTGGAATATAACATGTGATATATAATGGTTTGTATTCATTAATGACTATCTAGGTTATAATTGAACTTCAAATTTGCGTAAAACAGCAGTATAGTTAGTCCATTATGACTGGATAATTAAATTCTGGATTATATGTGTTTATCATACATATAATATAGTACTAACTAGGATAAGACATGCGCCTTGCGCATGATGAATATATGTAATTAAAATATAAAATTTTAGTATTGACAAATTTATGAATATATGTAATTAAAATATAAAATTTTAGTATTGACAAATTTAAAATTTACATATGATTGTTTTTGTATGTATTTGAAATTTAAGAATTTTGAAATTTTTATATAATTATCTATACATAGGATCAGAAACAATTTTAATTAGAAATGTAGATCAAATCTTAGAATTTAATGGATCTGTTTTCATATATCTTTTCACTTTTCAGTGTTCGAGTGATGGAAAATAAATGAAGTGTTACTGGGCTTGATTGGTAGAGTATTAGCAAGTTCCCTAATGCTTTTTAAGAATCAATTGGTAAAATATTTACATTTAAAATATATAAAGTTTCAAAACTAATTCAATATAATTTATTTATATGTCTAATAATATTATAAAATTATATTTTGTACAAATTATTATTTTTAAAAATAATTTATAAAAATTATGTTAAATTTTAAATTATTTTAAAAACAATATTTTAAGTTTTTCAAATACAAATAAATAATTTAAAATTAGTTATGGTCATGATTTTAACATAACCATAATGATTTAAAAAATTAACAAATTAAAAATTAACTCAATTTTATATCATGATTTAACAATTTAAAAATTAATTATGGTTATGAGAAGTTTACGTTCACGTGTCAGTCCTATTTATCTTCCATTTTTCTCTTGCTATGTTTTTTTTTTATATTTTGGTTATTACTCGATATAAATATTTATTTTGAATTTTATTCTCATTTCGTTTGTTTTAGAAAATACTTAAGATTTAAAATAATTAAAGAGATACATACTTAGGTTAAGATCTGCACTTTATGCACAATACGTATTTTATATTTATTTTATATTTTTCTGCATATTATAAATAATAAAATAATAAATATATATTAAATAACTAAGCAATCAGTTACTATTATGTAATAAATTGGCGTATGCATATAAATTTAACTATTACTCTTGTTTATTCACAATTAGGGTAATTAAATCAAAATAATCAATCTTATATATTGTATATGATATATAATTAAAATTAAATGATGTAAACATAGTAATATAACACACTTTTAATATGTATATTAATTAAATGAGGTTTCTATTCATATGACTTTATGATTATTTGCATATTTGTGTAACAAAACTTTACACCAACGAATTTTTTTAATGTGAGATGTTTAGTAGTTTCAATAATTTATAATCATTTAAAAAAAACAATAACATATTTCAAAATAAAATATTAACTTTTCAATATATGTTCAAGGAAAATATCAAAATATAAGTATGTATTTTCATACGATGTATAGTTTAATTAAAATGATATTAAATATATATAAACTAATATTATTTCTTCATATGGTCTTATAATCATTATATTTTAGTATAGATAAAAAATTTAAAACCTTGATCTTAAAAGTTTATGTGGGAATTTTAACAGTTTTAGTAATTATACTCATTTTGAAAAATTCGAAATACAACATACACAAAAAAAAATCTAGATTTTTATTATATGATTATGTAATTGTGTAATTTATTTTAATAATAAAGAAATAAACAAAATGAAAAAAAGTATACAGATTGTTATCAAATCTTTATTGTTTAAAATCATTAATTGTCATATATATATTTTGATCACATTAGGTAATTCCATAGGTTTTATTTAAGGAAAGCATGTGAAACAATAAATATTTGATATATGCGACCAACTATAGCCTACAAAATATTATATTGCTAGAGAATATAATTTTTAAACTATACATTATATCACATGCTCTAGAATCCTTGAGATTTGAAATAGAAGCCAAAGAGCTATGCCACATAGGATTGAGGTTATTTTTAATTCTTACAAACTTAAGGTTACAACTTTTTAAATGATTCTCAAATAATATATAGGGGATTACTGAAAATGACTAAATGTTCTGTGAATATCTCAAAAACTTGTGAAAATTTCTCAAACAAGATACGATTCTCCTTCTGATTTTCTATTTTCGTTTTCTTCTTTTCTACTATGTTTTTGTTGTTAAGGAACTTTTATAAATACAAACCAACATAGATTTTCTCATTTATCTGTAGCTCAAGAACTATCCTTTTATATACAATCATTATCATATAAATTGAGTCTGCCTCTTGTATAAGCAATAATGGAACTTTTAATCTATACATCTAGCAGTATATACATGTGATTTTTGTTTAATATGTGCAGTTCAGTAGTCTTACTTCAACTGACCTGAAAATCTGGTGGGGATGGGGGTTATGGAGTAGTAATCTAAACAATTAATCAACGGGGAGCAAATGTGTCTAAATAGATCGAGTTAAGATATTTTGACGCTATGTGACAAATTTGAAGGAACTTTTTTTTAATTGAATGTTAAATTTAATTCAAAGAAAAAAAGATTTTTTTTACATCAAGTGTATCCTACTTTTAAGTTTGTATCTATCTCGTTTTCAAAACAAGAAACTCGCAACAAGTTGCAAAAATATTTGTACCGATCGAGTGCCAAACCAAAAGGCCATTTAAGGAACTTCTTTTTCCTTTCTCTTGTATTCTTTCTCATAATACCAAATCTTGAAACGAGGAGTGTGTTGGAAACTTGGGATTAGATAGATTACTCGTAATTAATAATGTGAAACAATGACCAAAGACTTGGAAACTGCAAAAGGATTAATATTTAAATCAAAAGGGTACTCTGCACTACGAATACTTAAGTAGGATTTGATATCAATGTTGGAAGTAACAATACATTAACTATACCCGATTAATTTATTTTCTTTTTACTCTTGAGAACTACACACACTCGTTGTCTGTGCTCAAGCTACTGCAGTTTTGGAGATACAAATTAACAGCTCTGAACAATCTACTGAAGATTTCAATACAAAGATAGAAAAAGTAGTATAGAGATTCGAGAATAAGAACTCATTGATATTAAAGTATTGTCTAAAAGTTTTATGGCCCCATATCCTGGCACATTTTGTTGAGATTAGTAGTTACGGAATACGTACAACCACGTTCACTATGGCCACAACTTCAACATATGTCCTATACCATGTGTAGTTCCATTTCCATCAATATGGTAATTAAATACATGTGTACTTTATTAATTTAACATGCAATCATCGGTTTGGACGAACTGCACATTAAACAAAAGATAAGAAAACAAAACTGCGCAGGCATTATTATGCATGCATTTTTTTAACAAATAATTTACGTTATAGTTCAAATAATTTAAACCATAATAGCTTTGTCTAATGCAGGAATCATTTAAGCGTTAGCTTATGTATAATATAGTATAAAAGCTTTCTTTTTATTTATAATAGTATAAAAGCTGAGTTAATATAAATTATTGTGTTTGCATTAAGACTTTCTGCCAATGACTATTCGCGCACTAATTAAAGTCAAAACCGTACATATGTTAACTACGATCTCTGCCACTTGCGGGGCTTAAGTACTAATCCGTATATAGAGTACAATTTAAGACACGTTGGTTTCTGAGGTTATTGAGTAATTTGATTAAGCAAGAGAGCGGACAAGTAATCCTTATTAAATTAGCCTAATCAGAGAGTGGCGAAATTAGTGAAAAATCCGATGAAATTTTCGGTGTATGTGTGCCACAATGTCTTAAAGATCTGAGCCAAATCTGTCTTCTTCCACAGCTTCCACGGTAGATCATTGACCACTTAATCAAGTTTGCATTTAAAATAATGTTCTATGAAAATTTGTCCTATCCTCTCAATTATTTGACTACATTATCATGCAGGTATAGAAGTCGGCAGAAAATACATAATTAGAAAAACAGAACCAATTCGAGCTGTTTTCGATCAAAACAAAACCAAAATATATTTAGAACCAACAATTATTTAGAAATATATGAGTTAACTATTTTAAACAACAACCCAACAAAAAAATGAAACAAAAACAAAACCTCTACTACTATACTACTTATACAAATTAATACGAATCAAACAAAAACAAATATTCAAGTTTATATATAAGAATCCAAACATATGCACATATAAGTATTTAGCTCTAAACAAAAAAAAAAACAAGAAAGGACGAGCAATTATATATCATGAGAATGTAGAGCTGGCATTTTTGGTCAAAACGGTTACTTCAATCAAAGTCATATTTCTAGTTCCATTAGCAAACTCCTAACTCTACATTTAGAGAGTGATTGTATCATGAGAATGTAATAGTAACATTAGTGGTGTAACTACTTCTAAAATCTCTCACCAATTTAATAGTTATATTTTCTTTTAATTTAATTAATTAAATAAAATATATAAAAGGTAACCAATCAATGAATTGCAAAATGTTAGTGAAGTACCTTAATTAATTGTCTGAGTACTTTCCTATACAATCGATTCACACATATTTTCTCACTTTGGTCTTTCTATTTCTTACCTTTAGTATTTGTAATATATTTCAATAGCTGAGAAACATGATCATATACATTCAATGCTGATGCTCTAAGAAACATTGCAGCATAAATATTAAATGGTATATGTAACACCTTCGCCATCCAATTTTCGTTAGTAAAACACGAAAGACAATAAGAACATACTTAACTTGAATTTTTAACTGAAATTCTTAACTCATGATTTGATATTTTTTTTAGTAAATCGGTTAAAAACATTTTTTTATATTATTTATTTAAGAGATGATTTTTAGTTAAAAAAATAAAAAATGTATCTTAGTCGAAGTTAAGGATTCAATTAAAATACCAAGATTAATCATGACCTAACAATACATTATTAACAGAAAATACCAATACTTGTTCTCCTAAGGCCGAGGAAGATATGATTTGTAGCCACTCTTTTTCGTTGTTGTTGTAATCAACCGAAAGCAATATTAGAAACGAAATACCAACAGGGGGGACGTACCTAGTGATCGAATCAATACAAATTAGTTGACTAATTTAATAGTTTTACTACTGATGTTGGAGATATCTCCAGCCTACAACACACGTTTGGTTAGATTTACCCTCTGTGCAATATCTTTTTGTTTAGTACTGTAAATGATTTGCGTAATCTTAGGTGATCTCCCAATGCACGTACTTCTATTCCAAACTCGTTTTCGTGTTAGGACTTCAGAGAATCCATTATATTAAGAGATTCTATAGCAAGATATCAAGTTATCAACATTCAGTCAGTCACAACCACATATGTATACTATATTGGTATATAACTTTTTCCATGATCTCGTTAGTTTCCTTGTACGTATATTTTAAAGTGTCAGAGGATATATATATGTGCATGCATTCTTTTCGTAAGGTGTATCATTGACCATAAATCTATCATTCTCCATATCTACTATAATTTTTTTAGTGACCAAGAGGATCTATTTTATAAGCATTTTCTTTGATTGAATGTATATGCCTTTGACTTTTGTAGATGAGTTTGGATACAAATATACATTGGAGTGATCATGATAGTTTAGGTTGTGAAGAGGTTATATTAATTGCTTTCATAAAACAATATATAACTTACCTACATTTTACATAGTGTGGTTCATCTGGAGGTTACAATACAAGTTTAACCTTATTTATAATCTAAGATATATACTAATATGTTTATGACAACCTAAGATATATACTAATATGTCTATGACACATATCTTCACTCATCGTAAGATGGTCCATGTGGAGAATACAGTAGATTGCCACATTGAGGGTAGGAGCAGAGTTTGGAAAAAAAGAAAGAAACTAAATAGAGCTATGTTTGGGCCTAAGTTTGAGACATAAGCCCGTATCTGTTTTAGTGAATATGGTTAAGACATACAGTATGGCGAGTTGATGTGGGCATGCATGTCCAGTGGTGTTCTCGACTCTAGATCAGAGGTACATTGACAATCTTGGTTCTCGATTAGTCTCTTTTATGTATTTGTTACCAATCTATTCTCAGAGATGATGACTGACTCTAGTGGTGTTTCTTCAGGTTCCGGAGATTAATAGGGGACAAAGCTAGAGCCATAAGGAGCAACCGGGAGAGACTTCATGAACTTTAAGTTACATATTGCATTTAGAAAGCTTAAAACGACAAGAGCCTGACTCTAATGTGCCAAGAAAAGATTTAAAACTTTCAACTCTATGTATCAGACCAGACTCAGATGAGTGACACTGAGTGATGCCAAACTTTCAACTCTATGTATCTATTGTATATAACATGCAAATGAATCATCAGAAACACCAAAACCATATTGTAAAATACTCAAATAGTATCGAAATGTTTGATTATCACGTTGAACAAACACTGATAAAGTCTGAAACCAAATGAACTATTCGAGAATCTGATAAATACTGTTTTAGTTACTGAGAACTAGTGGATCTCAATCTACGAAGCTGATCAATCCAACGGTCCTCATTAACATCAGATGCCCAATCAGGAGCCGTTCCAGGGAACGAAATGTCTCGCATTGCCTCCATAACCCTAGCCGCGTTCTCCACCAATAACGGCGATCTTCTACGCCGCTCATCTTCCTCAAACGCTGTACGGATCTCCAAATCTGGCGTCACCGTCACAGTCTCCGTCTCTTCTTCGGTATCACTCTTGGCCTCTGCGTTTCCGTTTATACTAACAGATGAGATTCCGTCCACTGCTTCAGGGATCATACAATGACCGTTAGAGAGGCCGTTGCTGACGCCGTCTCCGTTAATCGAAAGATAACTGTCTTCCTCTTCTACGTCGTCGTTTCCACCGTCTAGATCTACGGCTGAGATCGGTTCGTAATAGTCCTCCTGTGACTCTTCGACGGAGTTAGAATCTGAGTCGCTGTTCTCTGCAAATATAAACAAAGATATTAAAATTCGTGAATCAAAATTGCGAATCTGGTTTTCTGAACAGAATTAAAGAGAAGAGAAAGAACCTTCCATGTCTGTGAGATCAGCTAAGAGCAAGTGCGAAGCTGATTTTCCGGGAAAACGAGTTACCTCGGAGGTGAAGAGGGAATGCCAATGAGAGTTGACTCTGGATCGAAGCAGGCCCATCTGTAGATATAAAATGAGGCTCATTTTTTTAAGGCCCATACTAAGGCCCAATCCAGACTTGAATAGTCATAATTAGCTGGAATTTGACTATTCAAGTCTGGATTGGGCCTTATCAATCTGGAGAGCAGATGAATGCAAAGGACCCAACCAATGCCGAAGCCAATTTCTTCATAGCTTATAATGATGGACAATCAACCAATATAATTAGAATTAGGAGATAAAGAAAAAAAATTAGCAAGTCGAATAGTTTTTTTTTCAAACAATACATCCTATTTAGATTAACAAACATACCTTTTCATAAATCATTTTGTCTTTTGTTAAGAGTAACAAACATATATTTTTATTTCTTAATTTTAAAATGGAAATTTGATTTTCAGTGTTAATGATTTAAATAATATTAATTTACTTGTAAAGTTTTATTCTACAGAAACACATACCATTTGTGCGATTTCACGGGGTCCACATCCTATGCATTAATCATTTTAGAAATTATAATCAAAAAGTTTTTGATTAATCGAAACCTGAACTCTAATCCATCACATGTTAGTATTGTTATAAGATTTTGGTAGTAAAAATTGATATCTACCTCTTAGTTCACCGGTTAACAGTATGTTAAAACTATATCAAAATTAGAAGTCTACCCAAACCACTGTATCCCTCCATTAACTTAAGTCTTTTTATCTTCTTTTATTTATTGATTGATTGACTCCATTAAATACGAGTAAGAAACTTGGCTCGTGTCTCGAATTACCAACCTTGGTTAGCAAAATGAAGTATGCAATGTTTTATTATGCTCTGTATTTTTAATCATTTACTAGATTTTGACCCGCGCAACCGCGCGAGTGTTGTTTTCGTTTACAGTTAGTTATATAAACATTTTGTTTTCACTTGTAAATTGGTATATATTATAATAATCATATATTTACAATATGTATAGTAAATATTTTCAAACATAATAATATTATATAATACGTGTTTTAATCAAATATATTATACATATTTTTCAAACATGTGTTTGTTTCCTTTTCTATAGTTTATTGTTTGTTAGATTAGTGTTTCATTTTTAGATAAAATAATATAAATAGAGCTTGATTAAATATTAATATACTTTAATTTGCAAAGATAATATAAACTTCGAAGAAGTTTTTGCTAAAAACTAAACTTATAACTTCATAAATTAATATTATAAAGAATTTTTTAAACAATTTCTTTTTTTTTTAAACAATATAATTTTAAAATTTTACATAGAAATAAATTTATCTAGTATATATA